CCCAGAGCCGCTGCTGCGTTCAGCCGGGGCCGGCCGCCGGGGCTCCTCTGGCTCTGGGCTCGGCCTTGGGGGGTTACCTGGTGGCGAGGGTGGGGCATAGGTTAGGGGACCTTCAGGTGGGGTGCTCTGGTATCCCTCATTGGCCCTGGTATGAGGTCTGAGTTAACATCTTCCCTGACCCCGCCCATCATGCCTCCCCCCTCGCACACATCCAGGTCTTTCAAGAAGTGGGGGTGGGGGGAGGCGGTGCAGGCCAAAGCAGCAGCAGGGGCAAAGCCTGGGAGGCAGCTCCGTGCCCTGGAGCCAGAGATGGGGGAGGGAGGAGGGGAGGAAAAGGTCACCAGGAGGCAGCATTGGCCAGATCCTCAAAGGCCAGCCAGGAGCACCTGCAGGGCCCCAGGGACGGGATTCGGGCCTGAGCCCTGTGCCCACATTCTTCCTGGATGGGCAGAGCCTGGTCCTTCTGCCTGCCTGTCCCCACTGCAGGGGCAGCAGGTGAACTCCAAGGTACACAACATCACTGTCCCTATTCCCGAAACGAGGAAACAGGCTCAGAGAGGTTGTTGTTCGTGCCAGCCCCCAGCTGAATGACTTAGGGAATGACGTTGACCGATCTCATTCCTCAAGAGTCCCAGGATCAGAGAGGTTAAGGGCTTGTCTAAGGCTGCACAGCCAGTATGGGGCGGAGCAGGCCTCACTCTAGGCAGGGGCAACAGAGCCTTTGCTCTCCACCACTTTCCAACCTTTCTGCTCTGATTTCAGGACATCTGTGTCCTACTTGTGGGCCTAGGGGGCCTGTCAAACCCCAATCTTGTCCGGTCCTCCTTGGCTCTAGAACCTGCCATGGCTCTCCATTGCCAAGAGAAGAAAGTCCACGCTCCTTGGCTGGGCTTTCAAAGCCCTCCCCAGCCTCCCCCGCACCTTCCCTGTCTCTTTGGGCCAAATGTAGAGTGGGCCTGCCTGGAGTGGAGCACTGGGCGGGGTATCAAGAGAAAGAACTAAAACTGGGAGAAAATGACCTTCTACTTTGAATCAGAACTTGTTTTTTTTTGTTGTTGTTGTTTGAGCTTCTACTTTGAATCAGAACTTGTTTCTTTGTTGTTGTTTTTTGGGGAGTGGGGGTCCCTGTTCTCAGCCACAGCCCTGACCCAGTCTCTCTGTCTCTGAAGACAGGTCTCTGCATAAAAACTCCCCACCATTTTCAGGCTCTTCCTTCACCGGCACCTGCTTATTTTTCCAGCTTTGCTCACTCATTCATTCGACAAACTTCTACTGACAAACTTCCATTGTCAGGGCTGCACTGGGCTTCACAGACCAGGAGGTGCAGGCCTAGTGCTCTCCTGTCACTGCCTGGCTCTCAACTCTGCTCTGAGTCCAGCCGGACTTCCTTTTGCTCAGGTCTGGTGAGCCCCACGTCTGCGCACACACATACCCTCTGCCCAGCACACCTTCCCCACCCATCAAGACCCAGCTCAGATGTTGCCTCCTCTGGGAAGCTGGTATTGTGATTTGTAATAAGAAATATATACTTGGTCTTCCTCTCATTCCAGGCACAGAGCTCCTAAAACCCCGGGAATTTTCTAAGTGATAGAGTGACAAAGGTAAAGGAGCACCTTTTAAAATTCAGAACAAGCCCCGTTGACCACACCTGAGTTCATATTAACGGGGTGACTTTGGGAAAGCCCTTAGGGATAGGGGTCTGGTCGCCAGAGGAACCAGCCACATCCTTAGAGCTGGAACTTTCCAGGGAGGGGAGGGGCTGGAGATTGAGTTCAATCACCAATGAGTTCATCAATCCATCATATCCACTTAATGAAGCCTCTATAAAAACCCTGGCTGAGGGGCTTGGAGAACTTCCTGAACACATCTGGATGCTGGGAAAGTGGTGCATATGGAGAGGGTGCTGGTGCCCACGCCCCTTCCCATACCCCTTGCCCTACGCATCTTTCATCTGGTTGTTCTTGATCTGTATCTTTTATAATAAACTGGTAATCTAGTAAGTAAAGTTTTCCCGAGTTCTGTGAGATGCTCTAGCAAATGATCAAACCTGAGGAGGGCTTGTGGGGATCTCCAATTTATAGCCAGTAGGTCAGAAACACAGGTGACAACCTGGACTGGCATCTAAAGTGGGAGCAGTCTTGAGGGACTGAGCCCTTAACCCGTGGGGTCCAGGTAACTAACTCCAGGCAAAGAGTGTCGGAAATGAACTGAATTGGAGCGGAAAGAAGTTCTTGCAGGGGGCTGGGAGGTTAAGGTCCTGTACTCTTGTGGGCGACTGGAGTGCGGCTTGCGCTAGGGCAGTGGTCGGCAAACCGACTTCTGCGCATGGGCCACGAAGTTTCAATTGCACTGTACACGCGCGCCCGCACGTGGTATTTTGTGGAAGAGCCACACTCAAGGGGCCAAAGAGCCGCATGTGGCTCGAGAGCCGCAGTTTGCCGACCACTGCGCTAGGGTAACCCAGTGCTCAGCCGGTAGCTGGGCGGGGCAGGTGATGTCCTTTCAGGTAACCATTCCATCTTCCTTCCCTCCCTAGAGCCTGCTGAGGGCACAGTGACTGCCTTGGGGCCAGCAAAGAGCCCTCTTCAGACTCTGGGCTCCCTGAGGTTGGGCTTCATCCAGCTCAGTTGTGGGCCTACAGTTCAGAACTGGGTCCTAGGGCTGGCTTTGCTGTGCCTGCTGGCTTCTGGTCGTCTCCCCACAGTACCCGCAGAAAGAGTGCAGCAAAAAGTCTTCTGGGGGCCAACAAGGCCACTCACCATTGAGTGTTGGGGGTGTGGACGGAGATCCTAAGGGGGATGAGTCATCTGAATCCAGGTACCAGGTGGCTTCGTCCATGCGGGACCTTCTCCTGGTTACAGGAGGGGAAGGGAGTTGTGCTTTGTGAGTCCAGGACTGTTGGAAGGCAGAGAATACTGGAGTTGGGGGCACTCGGGCACTCACCTCCCATTCTGGGCTTCCCCAGGCTTGGGGGAACTGGGACCCCAGGCCCAGCATGCTCGGCGTTCTCCATTGCTTGAGTCCTCCTGGCGTCGGGGGGACTGGCGGCCCCATGCCTGGCCTGGTTCTGCAGGCTCCACTGTGGAGGGAAAACCAGTGGAGTCTGAGCTGAGGTCAAGAGCTCTGATCCTTGTGCTCTGGCATCACGAGAATCAGGCTCCAGAGGTAACATGCTGGGCTCCAATCCATCTCTGGGTGGGCTTTGGGACACAGAGAACTTAACAGAATTTAGGTGGGTTTGGGTCTTGGGGTAGGCAGCAGGGGGGGGGGGCATCTCATCTAGTCCTTCAGCGGGCATTTGCTGTTTAGTAGTTACTTTGCTGTTTAGTAGTTAGTACAGACACGGCAGAAATCCACCTGCGTTTGGATTCTGCACTGTTATTAGCTGTGTAATGTTAGGCAAGTTACTTTTTTCACTTTCCTTATTTATAAAACTTAATAAGGACAGCTCCCTCGCAAAGTTATTGTGAGGAATTAAGTCAATATCACCAAGACATTTAGAAAAACGAGGACTCATATAAAATTAGAAAATACTAGTATCCTACAACTGTTTGACGTTTTACAAGTTAGTAAAATAAATGCTGCTCGGGGAACGCGAAGGTACCAGTCTAGACTGAGAGGGAAGGGAGACTGGGGCCGAGGAGAAGGTTTGACAGAAAGGTAAGAGGTGGGGCAAGGACAGAGGGAGGTGAGGCTTCTTACACTGGATGGCCCGAAACCGGGGAAAGGTGGGTGAGTCCCCCGCTCCGACCTCGAACACGTTTCTCCTCCGGTCCAGGCCGGGCGAGGCCTGCACAGTGATTCGGTGTTTGAAGTCTGGGTTTGGGAAGGAAGCAGGGCCAGTTCGTGGTGAAGGAGAGCCAAGATCCCAACCTGCAGGGGCCCTGGGCCGGCTCGTAGGCAGCGCGGGGACCGGGCCTGGCACGATGGGGATGTGGCTGGGGCCCAGCTTACTGCCCTCCCGGGCCCCGGGCTCTCGGTAAGGAAAGCGGACCTCCCGCCGGGACCCCAGCATCCGGAGGAGAGCGCCGGA